CTCTGTGTGGAAACTGCAAATTGAAGGCCTTTTTCTTTAATGTAAAGTGTATTTATTAAAAAATTAAATACAAATCCTGTCTGTGTCTATGGCTGTGAATTGTAGCCATGCAAAAGCAGTGCTCCATGTGCCTGCAGGGCTTGGCTGAGAGCAGCCAGGTGTAGCTGGAACCTGTCTGCAGTAAGGGCAGAGGAAACACAAAGGAAACAAAAGCGGGATTTGTGAGTGCAGCATGGCCACAGCACTGTGGGTTCCAGTCTGATCCCTTGCCTGACAGCCTGGAATTCTCAGTGGCATGCTCACCACACTGAGTGGGAGCTGGATGATGCCACTAGTGCTGGGCTGTTTTTGTGTGGGGAGGTGCTCTGGAGTGTCCACTCTGCAGCTCAGGCAGGGAATTCTGCATCTCCCAGGATGTGCCAGGAGCTGGGAGCAGCACCCACTTCCTCCTGTGGTTTGGCATTGCCTAGGCTGCCCTGTGGCTGTCAGGGCACAGGGAAAATCAGGTTGGGGCATGACAAGAGGCCCTGCCCTCAGAACAGGAGGAAGAAATGGCAGTAGAGTGTTTGACTTCCTAGTGCAGCACCCAGCTGCACAGCCTGGCCTGTGCTCGGAGCTGGCAGGGGAATGTGCTCACTGCTTGCCTGGCCAAGGCCAGGGCTGTGCTGTTTATTCCCACCCACTCACCTTTTAACCCTCTCTCTGTTTTGGCCACTTTCAGAATAGGGTTTGAGGCAGAACAGGGAACTGGAGACTTCTCACTTCTTGACACTACAACCACTTTTCCACCAAGAACTGGTAATTTCAGCTAAGGCTCAAAGTCTTACTGCTTGAAGAGGAAGGATGTCTTTTTTAACTGAAAGAAGGGATAGCTTTTTTGCCCTCCAGCATTGCATCTACTTAATGCATTTACCCAGGGCTGTTTGTTAGTTATTAAAAAGAAAGGTTCTACTGCAACTTGTAATGGATAATTGTACCCTACACAGTCGATAAAGATGAACAAGTGACTACTACAGCATTTAAGATCAGCAATTGGAGCAGCATTCTGATTAAATGAGGGGATTGAAAACTGGATCTGCCACCCAACAGCTGTGGAAGTAGCCTCTGCCTTATCAGAAACCATCCCACCCAACTTCACCATAGAAAATGTGCAGCTCAGGAGGAGAAAAAAAACCAAACAAACATGTACTCAGCTACTACTCCCAGGGAGATGCAGTGCCAGATGTCCATATCTTGTTCTGGCAGTAAACCCCAGCTGTAATTGGCTGCATCTGTTGCTGGTTTGGGCCTGGCTGTTTCGGAGGCATTTGCCAGTTAGTTTTGTGAGACAGAACCAAACACCTGGGATGGAGGATGGAGCTCCTGTGTGTGCATTTGACTTGAACCTGAGATGCTGTAAGTATATGAGCCTCCCTCCCCTCCCACACCTGCCCTAACTGCACTGAACAGAGCCAAAGGGAGTGGGTTTGGGCCTTACCCTGTGGGCCTGCAGGTCACCCTCCAAAACTGCTGAAGCAGCCCCCCAGCCCCTGTCCTGGGCAGACCTGGCCTCTGAAGTTAAATACACACCTGGGGAAGCTGCCTGCACCCCATGCTACCGCCTGAGTTCTGGGGATCTCACTGAAGAGTTCTGGGGAACAGGTGACTGCACCAGCCTGGGTGCAAAGTAGAGTGCACAACTGGGGACTATCAGGGATTACTTTGTTTTTGTCAGGCCATAATTCTGCAGCTGCTTGGGAGGGGGAGAATTCTCAGCATTTGGAAAATCACCTGCCGCTCTTGGCATCATGATTTCATCTATTTAAAAGCATGTTGCTTGGAAAGAATCCTATAATCTTTGGAATACTCACAGCACGTGGCTGATGTGCCATACAGTATTTCTTTTATGCAGCAGTTACAGACCCTGGCTTAGGGGGTGGAAGGGAATTTAAATGTCCTGCCAGCTGGCTAACACACACTCCTACCTCTGCACCAGAGGGGAGCAGGGATGATGCTGTTTCCTCCCATGATGTGAGCAGACTGGCCCAGCACAGCCTGTGCCCTCCTGTCAGCGTGGTCCTCATTGCACTGGGACCCGAGTACCTGCCTGGCCCACTTGGTGCACTGCAGCATCCTTCCATGGAGCACAGCCTGTGGCACACCCTGCCAGCACCGTGGGAGGGAGCAGCACATCCCTGCAGGGCTGGGGTTCAAAAAACCTCCCACAGGCCAGGGCTGGGAGAGCAGGGTACAAACCTCACCAAGTGCAGCTGAGGGTAATGACTGAGGCTCCTCAGCACTGCTCAGAGCACATCCAGGGCTAGCTCTCATCCCTGTTTCAGTAGGAAGAACAGCCAGCAACTGCTGTTCAAGAGGCCTTGTAAGACACAATGTTTGCTGAATGGGTGCTTAGAATAAAAGATGGGGTACCTCAGACTACGCACAAACACTCTCAGACCAGCCCACACCATCCACCGTCTCACCCCCTGTTCCCCCTGTGAGCTCCAGATTACCCCAAGGAGCCAGACATCATTACCCTGCCATGGTCACCCTACTGCCCCATTCTGCTGGGCTGAAAGGCACCATCCTCCCAAAAACAATCCCCAGCACTGCCTTACCCAGCACCACCGAGGGGCCCAGGCCTCCCACCCCCCATATCTTCTCCCCAGAACTGCTGCCATCCCAGTGTAGGGCCCAGATCTTTGATGCTGTAAGATCCAGATGCTGAGTTACTTCGCTGTAACTGCCAACCCTTTTTCAGGCCTGTTTCTCTTGGAATCAGCCTGGATGCATCTGTGAAGGGAGGGGATGGTGGACACAGGTCCAGAACGGGGCCTTTGGCCTTGGCACAGTCTGTTAAAGCCATGGTGTGGCTCCCTTGCCTGCTGGGGAGCAGGGAAGGCTCAGGTCATTGTGTCAGATGGATGCTGCTGCTCCTCTCCCAGGTGTTTTTTCCGTAACTCTCCAACTTCCCCTTTACAACTGTTAATTTTAGTAATTTTAGTAGGAGGAAGATTGTTGGTCTCACATGCTTAAAACCATCAGCCACCTCTCTGGGAAGAGAAATCCCATCATTCAAATCTCACCCAACCTTTGTCTTCTAAACAACCCTACATTATTATTTACTTATTTCACAAGGAAAATGGGAGATGGGGGGTTTTGGGCTGTTCCTTGGCTTTGTCAGCAAACAATTGCAGCTTTTATAATTTACTGGGTTTTTTCCTTCCCCTTCCACACCGTAGCCCACACAAGGCCATGGCACAGCACCACGAGCTGCACCTCCCTGCCACCATCAGCCAGGCGGGCACTCGTCCTGCCACCACCTCACTGCCTCCAGCTGCCCGGACACCTCCAAGGCAGGATACTCCCACAAAAGGCTCTGACCGCTCTGGGACCGGCCACCAGGGGCATTTAATAGCACTTGGTTTCAGGTAACACCGAACCGTTACAATTGCTGACATTTGGCACTGACTGCTTTAGGGCAGCACCGGGGACCCGGTCAGGAGGGCGGAGCCGGTGTCCCTGTAACCGTGTGAAACCGGGGCAGCCTGGCTGCTCGGGCACTGGAGCTGCTCCTCTGCTCCCACAGCACATTCCCTGATCCCTGCAGTTCCTATGGAGCATTCAGCTCCCCTCTGATCCGTGCCTTCACGGAAGATGCATCACGTGAAATGCAACCCCCCCACCCCAACAAACCAACCCACACTGGTTGATATTAATAACCCATCATCAGCTGATGATGTCCCTGCAGGGTTAAAAAGTGAAAAATAACAGCATCATTAGACTGAGTTACGCTCCCTGCTTAGTAGGTCGTGACACCAATCATACCTGAGAGGAATTTTAGAAGGGTTTTTGACAACCCTCAGCAAGGGAGCTGCTGGGTCACAGAGATTGGTGCAAGACAAATCTGGTTCTCCCACGAATTTGTTCACTTGCTTACTAAGAGAACAACAACAAAAAACCACCTGCAAATCTAAAGAAACTTTAAAACGTAGCATTTTTAATCCCACACAATTTTCTGTCAGTCTCCTAAAATCTACAGGCATCATTTTAAAAAATAAAAATATCCCCAAACAGAACAGTGTGGATTTTAACTCCAGCTTGGACTCGTTACCACATCCTTATGCTGCTGAGCACTCAAAGGGTCTGGCCTCCCAACCAACCACCTCAAAGCACAGACAGCAAAGGTGATGGATCCATCCCATTTCAGAGCTCAGATTTTGATCTCCAGTAGTTCCTCTGTCACAGGTCACCTGTGGTAACAGAACACATTCTCAGCCAGACAGACATGTTTCTGTCTGGTTTTGTAAGCCTGCAAACAAATTTAAACCTTAGGAAAAAAAAAAAAAAAAAGCCATTTATCTTTCAATAAAGGATTCCAGGTAGTACAACATGATTGACTGCAAATGGGCACCTCCAGCTCACCAAACACCTTCATGCCCCTAGCTTGTCCACATCTAATATGGGCCCATGGGTGTTCCCCCTTAAATCACTTTTTTTTCTTCTGCTTGTTTTGCCTTTTATAAAAATCGGTAATGTCAAACCTTTTTTGTTTTATCCAAGAACTTCTATGACTGAGACATGTGCCAGGTGGTCTCAAACCTCACCAACCTGAATACAGCATCCACTCCTCAGTAGCACACTTTTTGCCAAGTATCAACTAATTTTTTGGTGTGAATGAAATACACTTTTATTCTTGATCACGATTTGCTTCCTTGGTTGCTGGCTTCCTGGGAAGCTTCTATTCTCAAATAGAGACTCAACAGCAAAGCATCCAGACTCAAATTTACAACATAAAAAGCAAACAGGACAAAAAAAAAATATAGAGAACCAACCTTTCAGTCTCTGATACAGCACTAAGAACCTCCCTTCCCCTCCCACCTTGAAGGACACATATAAAGATGAAGGAGGTGCTCAAGGTTGGGATCTGAGAACTGACCTGGGCTGGGGCCTGGCTGCTCCTGCAGCACAGGGAACTCACCCTTCCTTCCTGGGCCACAAGAACTCGGATACCGCACAAGTTTAGAAATCCATCAGTGAACAAGGCTTTACTGACAACTTTTCATACAGTTAAAAAATAAAAATACAGAACAACAGCGGACAGTGTCACATATTAAAAACGAATAAAATGGGCTCTATTTAAAATTTTAATAGATATTATAGGTATTAAAATTAATTAGAAACTAAAAATCTTACCACTTTGGTCAAGGTGTTTTGAGCCTCAACCAAAATGATCAGCCTTAAAAACAACTGGGCTGTGTGACACACAAAGAAAACATGGAATTTGAAAAGACAGTGTGGGCTAGGCAGTGTCTTTGACTATAACTATCACCATATGTTCTTCTTCTAACTTCCCCAATGTCCTTAGTGCTGACTGGAGGTACTGCTGAGAGAACTCGCAAGGAGGGAACGCGTAAAGCATGCCTGTGCTGTCCCTGCCCTTTGCCCCTCCCACGGGCAGGCTGATAACCCCAGCAGCCTGCTTCTGTTTCAAGTAGGAGACCAGATTCCTGAGAAGCCGTCTCTGCAAGCCAGGCTCTACCACAGGGAAGGTCCCCTCGGCCCCTGCCGCTGCCGGGGCGGACTGGGTGGCCAGGAGCACGGCGTAGCCGTTGGGGCTGCCTTGTTTGATGCGCCGGGTGACTTCATCCAGCTTGGGCTGGTCCAGCCGAAGTCTCTGAGCGATTTTGAGCTGCGTCAACTTCCCGCCAGATGAATGGTCTTTGAGGAGTCCGTTGATGACACCCAGGTCTCCCTCCAGGATGTGCATAGAGGTGGGGAAGCAGCTGTTTTTTAGCACAAGAAGCCCATTCCAAGCAAGTTGCAGTGTCTGAGCATATTCTGATAAATTCTTTAGCTTTTTGGTCTCAGATTTTGGCTCCTCGTGAGTTTTGGATTCCGATTCACCAGTTCGATGATTGCGTTCGCTGTCCCTTTTTTTGGGCTGGGGAGCATCGGCTGGCTCGCGATGGGGTTTCTCCTCGGCCGTGTGACGATTGTTCTGGAGGGAGTTGCTCTGCTCTTTCTCGGCTCCGGGTTCTGTAGTGTGATTCTCCTTGCGAGCCCTGTCAGGGCTGCGGTCTAGAGCTGGCCCACTGGCCTTTGTCCTGCTTCTGTCCTCGTAAGGCGAGTGAGTAGTCCTCCCGCGGTCACTGGAAAGACTCCGGCGTCTCCGCCTCTCTTCCCACGGTTTGGGCACGCTGCGGTCACCGTCGCTGCCCCAGCGCTCCCCGCTCCGGCTGCGCACGGACCGGCTGTAGCTCTCCAGGTTGTTCCTGCGTTCGGCGTTTTTGGCAGGGCTGGCCCAGTCTGCCTCCACAAAGCTCCTGTCTCTGTCCGAGTACAGGAGGTGCGGAGGAGTCCTATCCCGCACCCTCAAGTCTTGCTCCAGGCTCCGGTGCCGGCTGTACCCGTCAGCCAGCAGCTCGTAGTGCACGGGGAGCGGCGCGGGCTGGTACTGCTGCGGGTATCTCGTCTCTTCTGCTTTGGCAAAATCCACTCGGAGCCTCCTCTCCGGTCCGCCCAAGGGGAAGCCCCTCATCTGCGCGCAGGCGGCCTGGGCAGCGTCCAGGCTCTCGTACTGGATGTAAGCGAAGCTGTCGCCCTTCACGTAGTCAATAGTCCTGATGCTGCCAAAGCGGTCGAACTCCCTGGCCAGGGCGGCCAGGGAAGTGCTGGGGCCAAGGCCCCCCACCCACAGCCGGGTGGTGGGGTTGGCTTTTCCGTAGCCAATTTTGATGGGGTTCCTGCCCACAACGCGGCCCGACATGGCCACCTTGGCCCGGTGAGCCATGTCCAAGTTCTGGAACTTGAGGAAGGCGTAGGCACCGCCCTGCCCACGTGCGGGGCGCTTGATCACCACCTCCTCGATGATGCCATACTTCTCGAAGGCGCGCCTCAGCTCCACCTCTGACACGTTGTGGTCCAGGTTGCCGATGAAGAGGTTGCGGGTGGCTCTCTGGTCATCCTCTGGCATCAGGTCTTCCTCGGCCACGATGGGGTAACTGTACGGGCGGCCGCGCTCGTCGTACAGCCCGTAGTAATCCAGGGCCCGCTCCCGCTCCCGGGAGAGCCCGATGGCGGCCGCTTCCAGCGCGAAGGCGGCAGCGGCGGCGTGGCGGGGCCGCGGCTCCCGCAGCAAGGGGCTGGTGACCGGCGACAGCGAGCGCTGCTTGTATTGGTAGGCGCTGTGCAGGGGCGGCAGGTACCCCAGCGGCTCCGGGGAGGGCGCGGGGGGCGGCGTGCGGCTGCGCCGGCCCCCGCGCAGGTACACGGGCTCCACCTTGAGCGGCCGGTCGTAGAGGAGCAGCTGCCGGGCCCGGGCGTGCCGGCGGGCGTCGCGGGCGTCCCCGGGGTGTCGGAAGTTCACGTAGGCGACGCGGCCGAGCTCGGGCGTGTGGGAGAGCTTGACACTGATGTCCCCGGCGCCCCCGCCCGCGAAGCGCTGGAAGAGGCGGAACAGCCCGTCCTCCAGCAGCTGGTCGGGCAGGGCCGCGCTCAGCCCGCTCACCAGCAGCGTCTTGTACTCGCAGGAGCCGGGCGGCTCCCCGGCCAGCCCGGCCGAGCCTCCGAGCGGCGCCAGCAGCAGCGAGGGCGCGGCGCCCGGCGGCGGCCCGGCCAGCAGCAGCGACGGGGCTACCACGGCGCCCGGCAGCGCCTTGGCCTTGGGCACGCCGAGCGCCCGGGACGAGGAGGAGGAGGAGGACGAGGGGGCGGCCTGGCTGCCGCCGCGGGCGCCCGAGGCCGAGCCGCTCCCCGCCGGGCGGTGGTTCGAGTCGCCGCCGCCGCCGGCGCGTTCATCGCCTCGGTGGCTGCGGGAGCTGGAGCCGCCTCCGCCGCCGCTGCTGCTGGTGGTGGTGCCGCCGCCGCCTCCGCCGCCGCCGCCGGGCGTGGACTTGTCCCGGCTGCTGCGGGAGGCGCCCGAGCTGCGGTGCGGGCCGCGCCGGCTGCTGCTCTCGCGGTCGGGCTCGAGTCGCGGTCGCTGCCGCGCTTCATCGCGCCGGGCCCGCGGCTCAGGAGGCGCCTCCGGCGGCCGCCGCCATCTTGGACAAAAGGGAGCGAAGGCGGCTACGGCCGCCGCGCCGCGCGGGCCCTACGTCATCGCCCCGCGCGCGCCGCGCCGCAAGCCGGCGTCACGGGGCCGTGACGTCACACGGCGCTTCCCGCCGCCCGCGCGCGACGGCCGGGCGGCCAATCAGGGCGGGCGGCGAGGCCCCGCCCCCCGGCGGACTGAGGGGCGCGCGCGCGGCCGCTCCGCGGACGGAGCGAGGGCGGGGGCGCGGACGGGGAGTGTCGGGACCCGGCGGGTGCGGGCCTGCAGGGGGGTGTGTCCCGCAATCACGTCACACGCACGGCTCCGCCCGGTACACACCGGCGAACTTTAATGAAAGTCCCGTACAAAGCGCGGGGCCGGCGTCGCCCCTCAGAGCCTCGAGGTCGCCCCTCACAGTCCCCTCACAGGCCCGGTGTCGCCCCTCAGAGCCCCAGGATCGCCCCGGTCTCGGCCCTCAGAGGTCTGTCCGGGCGCCGGCCGCCCTCGGCGCGTACTTGGGCATCAGTTCGTGGATCCTGCGGATGAAGTCGTACTTCTCGACACAGCCCTTGCACACCTCGCCCCAGTCATCCAGGATCCGCCGCAGCTCCTTGACGCGCAGCTTGCGCAGGTCGGCGGTGCTTAGGTCGATCTGCTTGTCTGTGGGGAGAGCAGAGCTGCACTCAGACATGCCAGGTGGGCGAGCACGCCAAAACACAAGAGGGAAAAGAGGTGCCAGGGGTGGAAGTAACGTCTAAGTTAGGTTTGGACAGCAGATAAGGCTCTTAATGCTAAAAATTATTAGAAGACAGAAAGCTTGGTTGCAGTTTAGATGCAGGAGTCCCACAGTAGCCCTGAAAGCCCCTTTATTATATGAGCAGCAACACTTCTTTTTCACTGGATAAAAGAAATGTAGCAGAGTGATTTCAAGGGAAAGATAAGAAAGTGACAACAACAAAAAGTTTTTTAGGAAGCAACACGACCTTAGTAGGAGAAATGAAAAATATAAAGACCCACAATCCAAGGGGTGTCTCCAGGGGGTGAAAGGGCAACTATAAGAGAAAACAGGAGGAGACATTTCTATGCCTGTTTTTGTATTAGTCTTTTCAGGAAGAGGAGTCATCTAGGAACGTGAGAGTTCGAGGAAGGTGATGAGAAACAGTGAGTGGGATGCTCTGAGGAGGCACCAGAGGAGACGAGAAAGCAGCATTTATCACCCTGCTGCTGGGAACAGGAGAGCAGCTGGGACTGCAGAGCTCAGCCAAGGCCCTGAGCCCTGCCACAGTGACACCCCTGCCTGCTGCCAGCACAGGCTGTACCACACACCCCCCCAAACATGACATTCCAAACAGCGCCGTGAGCGCAGCAGTGCTGCTACACCTGGGAGTTAGTTATTCCAGGGCTGAGCAGAGTCCCTGCAGAAGCCAAGAAGGGTTAGCTATCTTACCTAAGCATCTCCATAGAACTCTCTAGGATGTTCATGGAGAGCAACCCAGGTTGTGCAACCCAACTAGGCTACAGAACTCAGGACTGAGTAATTTTAGGACATTGCTTCACCCTCAGTCATCCACACCCCAGCAAATCATGGGCATTTCCTCTTGTACAGGCAACTCACCGTATTTTAGTTCACAGATCTGACTGTCTTTCTTCTTTAGCTTCTCACAGATCTTTTCCACAGGGATGTGGTGACTCATGGGCTTTGATACCTCGTTAATGATTTTGGTGGCTGCATCACTTGTGGCCCCAATGTAATAGCACTAGAGGAAAGAAAAGAGTGAAGTGGAGATGCATGGGAAAAAAGCTTCTAAAAGCAGAGTTTTCTGTTCCTGTCCTCATCTGGTTTTGCAGCTCAATGTTTACAGTTAGAGAACCTCCCCAAGGGACTGCCAGAGCTGGGCAAAAGGAGCCTAACTGAGCCCACAATACTGAGCAGGTGTTTTCCATTGCAATGATTTTACAGCTGCTGAGGCTGGTCTTGTTTCTTAACTTTATAAAAATTGAACAGGATTAGGAATAAAGTCTTCTTCATTCAAAGAGCCTCTCTGAAGTGTTCCCCCTCTTCATGCATGTCAGATGGTATCTCTGTAGTTCTCTGAGGAGAGTTCAGGCCTTTTCCTTGGGCCTCTTTGTTCACAAATTGCCTCTGATTTTAGTTAGGGCAATTTGGTTTTCCTTTATTTAGTTTGCAGCTAAACAGCTGAAGAATATAAATATTTTAACAGATTATATAGCACCCCAAATACCATTTAAGGGATAGGGAGGCCCTGCAGCAAACAAAAGCTTTTCAGTAACAGTGAGATGCCAGCCAGTCCAATCACTGTTGACAGGGTGGTGTTTTTTTTCCTTTTTTTTTAAGGTAAAGAGATTGAACTCCTCATGTCCTTTCATAAAAAATACAGGACCCACTGTGGCCACAGAGCCAGCAAAAACAGCCCCTGGGAAGCCACATCATACTCAGTTTCCCCTCATTTGCAGGAGGGAAATATTACTGACTCCCCTACTTACCAGGCGATTCTCTTTGCCCTTTGCTTCTTTGCAGGATTTCAAGAGCTCCTTTTCAATACTGGAAGGTGTGAATTCAACATCATTGTCCTTTAGACTCTGGTAGAACCTTCCCAGGAATGTGACACACACTGGAAGGGAAGATGGATGGGGTTATCAGCCAGAGCAGCAATCTCATGGCAGCTCTCAGAGGACACTGGTAGGGAAATGGAATCGGAGGTTTGGAGAACAGAACTTTTCTGAACTTCACCCACAGTTTAGAAAGTCATTCAGAGCACAGTGAATCAACAACATGCCCTGGTACTTTTGGTGGGTTTGTGACAACCTGAGAAACGAGATCCATGGGAGTGTCTAGGGGCCTCTGTACATTGTCCTGAGTGAACACAGGATCAAATGATGGACACAAAACCACACCCATGCAAAAATGTATATTTAAAGTTGTCTTGCTGCTTTGGGAAGCAACTTGTAAGGACATGGGTGTCAAACCCAGTGCTGATTGAAAACCAACTCTGTACATAATCCTCTGAGACTCCCCATGTACTGACTTCAGCAGCAGGGTATCACTGATTGCCAGGCTGCTTCAGCTGAAATTACTTCCAAGAGAAAAAGAAATGTGATCTCATGCTATGTCCCCATGGCACCTTTCGCATTCTTTCATTTCCACAAGCTTCTGATGCAGTTTCAGATGGAAAGAGGGAAGACTCTTAGACATAACACAACTCCCACAAGTGCAGCTGCAGCTGAGAGGACAGATCCAAGTTCCTGCCTGTGGGAAGGGCTGCACAAACCGGTCATTGCTCCTTCCCTTGCTCCTTCCTTTGGCAGCAGTCGCTCTGCACGTGCTCCAAAGCGCAGCAGCCCCGTGTGTGGCTGGGAAGGAGGGCAGACAGCCTGTGGGATGACTGAGGGACACCCTGAGTGTCAGATTTTGGTCATCCTGCTGCTCACAACTCATCTGTGGATATCAGCATCACCTGGACCAAGCGCTCTTCAGTGCCCCCAATTCCTGCTCAGCACCTGGAGATTCTCACACCTTCCCATGCAAGATGAGTGCCAGGAACCATTCTGCCTCTAAGGAACAGGTATGAGTTATGGCTTTTATGGGATTTGCTTACTCCAACAGGAAGGGACTGGCAAATATTATTGTCATTAGCAACTTGTGTTCAACTCAGAACACAATGCAAGACACAGTAACTGGGCACAACAGGAAATGGAGTATGGCCATCTCAGAACTGAGCAGAAATGTACTCTCATTATATTAAAACTAGAACTAATTATAAGATGGACCATACTGGAAAACATTTGTTGTATGCATACAGCACACCCTTATTTACCTCCCATCAGTCTATCCCCAGTCACAGACACACTGATGTCCACTGTAAGCTATTGGGAAGTGAAAACCTTGGGAAGAAAAAACTTGCTGCAGGCAGTAACACTGATGGCCACCATAGGATAGAAACACGTTTCCAGTCTAGTGCTGCCACAACAGCTGGAAGTTTTGATTTATGGGGTTCCCTCTCCTCATTCTGTTGTACTGAGGACAAGGGATATTAGTATCCCAAACTCCCAAACAGCTACTAGAGCCCCACCTCAAGTTCTTCTTGCTTCACTGGGGGAAGATGTTCAGTTCACTGCACAGGAGCAGCTTAATTTGCTGCGCAGCTCAACAGGTTCCACCCCCGAGGCGTTTGTATTTCCGTGGTACACAAAGGGCCCGACTTGATTTGGATCAGCTGCTCACGGCTCCCGGCTGTGCGCACCGAGAGACTCCGAGCACTCCGTAATACTGTGATGACTAAGGGGGAGTCCCGGGTGAGTAACCTCACTCACGCTCTCCTGCTCCCTGCCCTGGTCACCCGGCAGGGACAGCCGCGGGGAGCGCTGCCCCGCCAGTGCCGAGCTGCGACAGCGCTGCTCTCCCGGCCTGGAGACGGTCCGGTCTCCCGGAGTTGTCGCTCCTCTTTCCCGTGGGGACTCCACACTACCGCTGACCCCGTGGACCAGCAACTTTCCGACAAAGTGCAGTACCCTCGGAAGGGAGATCCCGTCCCCGGCGCGGGGCACGGCTGGAAGCCCCGCCCCGCCTGCAGCCCGGCGCATCGCCCCGGCACCGGACGTTCCCGAGCACCGCCCCGGCACCGGTCGCCTGCGAGCGGCGCCCGGCCAGGTCCGTCCGCACTTAGCCAGACTTGGGAGACTTTTCCTGCCGCTGGAGGCAGCGCTCCCCCCGGCCCGGCCCGGCCCAGCCCCGCGGCAGAGCTGTCACTCGAGGCTGTCACAGTCCCAAGGCTGTTCCGCGTCCCGGCCCCACAAGCTGGCGGACGGGCCAGAGTGCGTGAGACGGCGGCGAGGAACGGCCTCCCCCCGCCGTGCCCGCGGGCCGGGCCCGGCCGCACTCACCCTCGCAGTCCCCGTCGCGCAGCGCTCGGCCACCGGCCGGCAGCAGGAGCAGGGCCAGCGCCGCGCAAAGCCCGTGTGCCGCCCGCATCCCGCCTCGCCCGGCAGCGCCCGCCGCACCGGCACCACCGGCACTAGCACCCCGCACCGGCTGCCCCCGCCGCCGCCGC